ATACAGCATCAAAGCAATTGACAGTAAACTATGCATCTTGAGTTCTATCTTCTGATCAGTGATCATACACTTGAATATCAAAATTACTATTATTACCATTTTGAAATACTAAGATTATATGTAAAGTCCATTCAGATTTTTCAAAAAATTCTTCTTTTGTTTTTCATGAACTTTTTTTTAATACTTTCATTTTGTAATCAGTAACTATTAGTGCACCATCATCATTCAATTCTAATAAAAAAGCTTTAAATTGAGCATTTAAATAAATTTTATGTGTTTGATAGATAAGATAGTAAAGCAGCTGATCTTGATATTATTCTAATTGTTCAAATAATTCAACTCCAAGCTGTACTTTAAGTTCATCAAATAAGTAAAAAAGTTGAAAATATTATGAATATTATTTAGAATGTTCTAATTTACAATCACTACAAGTATATAATAGACAGTGATTGATACATTTATCATGAAAAGTGATTTCAATTTCATTTACATGAAATTCTTTTTTATAATCTTGTTTAATATATTGCTAAATCTTTTTAATTTTTTAAACCAAATGATTCTTATAGATAAAATATAAATATATTAATAAAATAAAAATAAATATAAGATTTATATTGTTTTATAAATAATTTACCTGCACAGTTTTATTTAAAATATGTATATTAACAAATATGCATAAATTTTCAAATTGTTGATTTTTTACTATATTCATTTTAGTATGCATTATTATTGGTTTAGTTATAGATAAACAACTTGGTCTATTGAACTTAGCAAATTTTCATATAGAATTAACTAGATTTAGTGATACCTAATAATAAATAAATCATATTGTTAATTTTATAATAAATAATTAATAATAAAGTTATTAAGGCTATTTACTTATATTTAGCTTATCATTGAGTTTGTTATAGCTAAATTTTTCAGCTATTATAGATAAATTCTTTGTTTTTCATTTATTCCTTTTAGATTAGCATTAAGTAATATTGAGAAGTATGATTAAAACTTGTTTTCTGAATTGTTATCTTGATTTTTTGATAATAAATGTAATAAATCTATTTTATATAAATTCTCCAATATTTCTTTATTAGCAGTTGGATTAATATTTTTTGTCTAAAATTGCATTTATACTTCAAAAAACTAAAATAAAATACTAACATCATGATTTAAATAATAATAAAGTAAATAATATTAAATAATTCTTTTTTTACATACCTGATCTTTGATAAAATTAGGTATTATTTCTATATATTCTGTAGCTTTAAATAAATGTCTCCAAGCTTGCATTTCTTACTCAGTAAATATATAATTTTCAGGATAAATTGTTTGTAAAATACTAAAAAATTCTATGATACCACTCTTCTGCGCTAATTATTCTATAAATATTTTTCTCCATTCAATACCAGCAATTGCAATTTTTCTTTTGAGATATTTTTTAAATAATTTATCTATTATAGTTACATTATTCTAATTACATGACTAACTTTTTAAATTGCATCTAATATTTACGGATGATCTAAACTAAATAGCATGCTTTCATATTTTCTTAAAATTCCAATAGATTTCTATACCTCTTTAGGTGAATTCCCTTCATAATAAACAAGAATTATTATATCTTTATAAACTTCTATATAAAATAATTTTTTTTATTTTTTGGATAAATAAATAATGCTAACTATGAAATTTATTAAGAAATGTTGATATATATCCTGTTTCAATCATATTTAAATTTAACCCTGTGACAAAAAGTAAAATACCTTATATATTTATTATAAATGGATAAAACTCAATATCTTCTAATAGCTCATTAACTATTTGTTTATTATCAAAACCTATAATAGCTTATCTATTATATTCTGTTGCAGTTCTAAAAATATTTTTATACACTTCATTAATTGCAGCTGAAGGTGTTAACTGTATTGAAGATACTCCTACTGCTTTACAATTATAACCTGGTAAAAGTTTTTTTGAAATATTTTCAACAACTCAGAGTATGAAAAGTTGTGTGTTTAACTCTATTTCTACATATATACCAAGATGAATAGGAACAATATTTTTTGCTGAGATGTCCACCAATATTGTGCAAATATTTCATAATGATGTTTGTTCACTATTAAGCCTTTAGCAAGTAGTTTTGTAGTAAGTGAGCTTATTTTTGTCATTAAAATGCTAACATTTGAAATAAAAGCTAAATTATATAAAATTATAACTCAAAAATTTTATATTAAAATTAATTATCGATTACTCATTCTTAAACGTATTACAAATTAAGTTTTATAATTATTAGATAATAAGTTATAATTAAGAAATTTAAAAATTGAAAAATAAATATTATATTGATAACTATTAATTTTAAAATTTTATAAATATTATTATCTTAACATAATAAATCTAATAAATTTTATTTTATCATTTTATGATTATTAGATATTAAAATATTATAATATTTTTATAATTAATATTATTTTTATTATTTAAAGGATAATAGATATAGATTTAGTTAGAAAACATTTTTATTTAATAAAAAAAGATTTTTATATAATAAAATAAAGGTTAAAATTAGTTAAAATTAACTTAGACTAACCATATTTTTACAACATAAAAATCTTAATTTTTTCTAAAAATAGAATTTTAGTTAAAGTTAAATTCATCTATTTTAACTAATTAAAAATCATTAACTGATTAATATATTAACTATTTTAAACAATTAATTAATTAGTTAAAAATTTAACCAGTTTTAATTTCTATAATAAAATATTATTTTGTTATTTAATATTTGTTAATTATATTTAATATTTTGTATTTAAAAAATATTACACTATTTCTCTTTATATAAATAAATAATTTTAAAAGTTAGTTATTTAAAATGATCTTAAGATTTTATTAAATTTAGATTAATAACTGATTTTATTTATTTTTTTTATGATTATAAAAACACAAATTCCTATTTATCTCAAAATATATGAAATGTTAATTTGGTCTTTTTTTTCTAATACTTATTTCATATTTTTTTAATTATTTAATTATTAATTCTTTTACATTTAGCTTAATTTTTTTATATATCTTCAAATACAAGATTATTATTTATTATTTGTTATATTTACTTTAATAATATAATAATTAATAAATGTACAAAGAAATAATATAAATTTTATGAAAATAATAATTTTATATATTTTAAAAGCTTGACAATATTAATATTAATAAAGATTATTAGTGATAAAATAGATTATATTTATATATTAAATAAAAAAAAATAATTTTATACAAACTATAATTATTATTACTTTCAAAATAAATTTTTTTGGGTTAATAAAAGCTATTTAATATAAATCAAATTACATTTAAAGAAACAAAAATCATTTGATGATTATTATTAAGAAATGAAATGATATCATAAAATAATAATTAATAGAATTGGTTTAGTTTTAAACCAGTATTCCATCGCACGTGAATAGTCATTATTGCAAATCATTGGCTGATATAGGAATCAAAAAGCTTTGACGAAGGGTCCATTATTTGTTAGCCCAAATTGTGCAAAACCTGACAACTTTATACTATTTTTCACATGCTACCGACCATATTTCTCTTCACTTTTGTAAGGTCATACATGGTCTTCTGATTATTCATGCTAAGTTTCCTTCGGATAATTTCGGAAAATTTAAGGTATTTTTCCGTAAATAAATTACATAGGAAAATACACTACAATATGGTGACAGATCCATCTAGTTCCGTTTTCGAACCACCCTTATCACATCGTCTAACTTCCTCAAATATCTGAAAAAAAAAGGCAGCAATAATAATATAGTTATCACTTTTTAAGTCATAAAATTTATATCTATCAAATATTTAATGTATAATTGATATAACTGGTATATTATCCTCCACCAACAACTTCAAGAGAGATGTTCCGTCTCGTCATTTTTTTTCATTTATTTGATTGATTGATTATTTAGTTATTCAAGAATAAAAAAAAAAGTTTAGTAGCTTCGTTCTTCGCCTTCCTTTTCAACGTGGGGAAATCTTGGAACTTCAATCACTTAATTTTGAAAGCCTGTAAAAGCCATAGAAGATATTAGAATCATGATTTGAATTCATTTAAATCTGGATAATTCTTTATGTTACATACAGTATATCCGTATAATATACTGGTTTATATAATTATTTAACTGACACCTGACAAGGAAAATCAGCGTTAAGAAATTCGATCAATTATAAAAATCATTTGGGTTCAATACTTTCTTTCTCCACGCCTTGAAGACGAGGCATGACTTTGATAACTATCTCAAAATTAAAATTAAAATCTTTTTCTATTTTCTCCAAAGTCAAACCAAGCGAAACTAACTGTGACAAGACAGTTTATCCGAAATTTTTTTGCAGTAATGATTCGGGCAAATGAGAGTTCGAGAAGGTTTAGGTCATAAGACGAAACTAATTTAGAAATTCGTAGGGCTTTAATTTTCGGCGTCAGAAGAATAATCCGAAATCACAAATACGTAACATCTGGCCGATCTGGTAATGGGAAATCTCGATGAATAAATCCGGGGAATCTAACCAATAAAGGGAAATAACGCATGGTTGCCTTCGTGAAACATTATTAAATTGAAAATTTTATTATTATTATTATAGTAAATTATTTTTATTATTAATCTCTTTAATATCAAATTATTTCAGTATATTCCGTGGTGAATCACATTATTTACGATCAATAAATTTACAAATGAATTAAATGTATTAAAATGTTCACATCTAATATAATTCTTTGAGCGTAAAGTCATTTTCATAACTTTACGGTTCTTTTGGGATTTTCAATCTGTCTTACTATAAAACAGTTCGTACTAATTTAGCTAAACAAATTTAGTAGAAATGCCGAAGAGGAAAAAAAAGTATTTGATCGACGACCACGTTGTACGACCATTTTATCTTGATAAAAAGAAGCGCAACGAGTTTTTTTTTTTTTTTTTTTTTTTTTTCCATTATATTTAATTACATTAATTCAAATCATGGTGTTCAACAAACCCAAACGACCACGATTTCTACATGAAAGGAGTGCAATTTCTAGAAAATTTGACAACTACAATGAACATCTATATATTTGCATAAGTCCAAATGTTAATTGGATAGCAACATTAAACACCTCAACTTGTCAATTAAAATTATATAATTTTAAAGATCTAAAAAATGCACACAAAATAATAAATTTTGATGATAGATATATCAAAATCCCCTTTGTAAAAAAAGCTTGGAACTTGACCGTTTCCAATGAATTTACTTTGACCGATGGAACTGTCGAAGTATTAATTGCCGTATCTTGTTTTGATAATGATGATATGAAAATATTAAAGAACAAGAGAAAATCACCACAACCACCTCCTAATGAGCTTATTTCAGCCGAAGAAGCTGATGTCAATGTGAATGACCGAGATAAATCTGCAACATTCATTATTTCAACCGCACGACGATTGAAAATCGCCTCCCCAATTAATAATCAGGGTGGTATAATTAAATTTTTGAATACTAAAGAGGATGATGATACAACCGAATTGGTTGTTCTCAATGCGATCGGAATTACTAAAGTCTACATAAAACATGCTACAATTGGAAATGTAAACGATAATAGGAAAAGTGATTGGTCCAAACTTTTATATCCCGATAAATTAATTGACAAATATTATTATCCAAGAAGTTTTTTTAAGGAAATGAAAAGGTTACCAGAAAATGAAACTTTTGCTTACTTCATTCGTCGAAGTCTGTTAAAAGACTGGTTTATTATAGATAATTATAAAGATAAGGTACAAACCATTGAAACATATAATTTAAAAACAAATAAGCTGGACAATTTTTTCCGAAAACGTGAAGAAACCGTTGCTTCGATTGTAGGTAAAGGTAGTCCTTTTTTTACCATTTCAAAAAATGAAACCTTATTCGCTTATTGTCGTGGTACAAATAGTATTACCATCTACTTAATGGAAAATGGTTTAGAGGTTACCACAAAGAAATTCAAAGATAAGGATGTTTTAAGAATTCTCTATTTTGATTTCGTTGAAAATGATAGTAAATTATTGATCATTATTGAGGAAGAAAGAAATCACGGCGATTATTGGGAATCTGAACGTTTACCTGTCGTCGTAATTTGGGATCTATTTAGTAGTTCTAATAATTGTGTTAGAAAAATTGATGAAACACCCTTATTATTTTCAGATAACTTAAAGCTTCAAAGAATAGCTATCGCTTCCGGAAAACTCATATTCATAAATGACGATGAAACGATTTTTTCGGCATTAGATAGACCACATATACTTAAAATATTGAATCCTGAAAATGATAATACGAGAAACGTAATTAACATAAATTCACCTGAAAAATCTAATTCATCATCCACAACAACTCTTCCCTTAACAGAATATCATTTAGTTTATGACCTTTTGGGAACATCTTTAGACCATGAAACTGTTAAAGTGATCGTTGAAGACCCTGAACCTTGGGTACAAGACAAGCATTACAATCGTACCACGACTTATCTTGATGATGATAAAACTGTTCAGTTAATTGTTGGAGAATCTACCGTTCAAGTTTGGCGCAAAAAAAAAGGAGTTGCTACTGATACTTCACCTAAAAGAATTCTTGAGTATATTTGGACAAATCCTTTTAAAGAAATGCATAGACAGATTAAAATTGTATCTTTGGAAGTTGCTCAAAGGGAATTCTCTTTAGTGGTAAATATTCCTTCTGGAAATGCTCCTAATCAACTTGGACAACAAGTCATAATTGAATGGCCTGATAGAGTTAATGTTCCAGTAGACGCGTGCAAAGCATTGTTATTTCTTGATTTGCAAAGTAATGAACCTTTAGGTCCCAAGAAACAACATATTTTTGAAAATATTGTTCAACAAACCGAAAATATCGTCAAGAAATATTTAGTCAGCAATTTTGGATCATGGAGAATGTTGGACATTCGTTATGATCTTATGGCCAATCTTATTCGAGGTAATCGTGTTTCCATTATCCGAAATATTTTATCATTTGAATCTAAAAATGGAAAGAATAAAAATTTACATCTTCCAAGACTTTATTCCTGGAACGGGCAAGCCAAAGAAACAGATCTCGAGATTGCTATCAAGTACTCGAAGGGAAGTTACCGTAAAGATACTGTTATTGTAAAATATTTATTAGATTATTATTCTGATAATGCCACAAAAAATTCGAGTTGGATGTTTGCGGTATCCCGAGCAATTCCCGTACTTTATGAATATAAATTAGAATATTTTGTTAAGGAATTATTTCTAAAGCCTTGCTTTGGTTCTAACGAAATTTACTTGGATAAATCGGAGATTAATATTGAAGATATAATTAACAGTGATCATAAGAATATCCATGCTTTAAGTATAGAAATAGGCCTCGTCAAAAGAAATAATGATAGTTTCTTTATTTCTCGAAACGAACCAAGGTAGGATTAATGGAAAAAATTAAAATTTAACACAACAAGATGAAATTAACTTTTTTTTTTTTTTTTTTTTTTTTTTTTTTTTTTGTAGTAGTAATAGACCACCAAAAACAAAAACTTCAAAAAATATCAGAAAGATCGATCAAGTTTACATGGTCCCGCTCCCAGATTTTACTGTATTTCCTGATGGGATCCATGATAAACGAAGATTCTGGAGCATTCCTATTGTCCTCTTAAAATTATTGTTTTGGCCACGTAATCATATAATAGAACAAGAAGGAAAATTGAGTCCATTTTTGAGAATGATTAGGAATGATTACACAACGGAAATTTATGACAATCCGTCGATAGCCGCAGTAATAGATTACAAATGGAACGTGGCAAGAACATATTTCGTAAGACAAGCATTGACTTATCTTGCATTTGGATTATCATATACTATTTTATCAAATACAATGGAACAATTCGTTAGACCTCAAATACCTAATTATATTATTGCCCTTGTAGTTTTATTTTATTGGTTAGGATTTTATTTATTGAACACTGAAAGAGTTCAATTAAAATATGTAGGATGGAGAAGATATTTTAGCGTTTACAATTTTTTTGATTTGTTTTCGGTCATATTGCCATTCACGGCAGCTTCGATACAACTTTATTATAATCTATCAGATTATTTCAGATATAAATCCAATGCTATTACCAGTTATTTTGAACTGGATCAAGAAATGTTCACAATATTTGATTCTTTTACGACTTTAACAATATGGCTAGAAGCTTTTTTGGTGAGGCCTTTAATTTAATTTCTTAAAGACACATGCTCTTATAAACTTATGTTAAGCTGAATATTTTTAAATTCTAGTTATTACGATACTTTGAGAAAACCGGAGCTTACATATACATTGTCATGAATATCTTACAAAATATAACATCCTTCTTGATCTTTATATTGTTGGTCGTCCTCGGATTTGGTCATACTATGTAAGCGGAGATTAAAGAAATTTTTGATCACTTTGATTGAGGAAAATTTATTAATATCTTTCTTTATATTTTCAGGTTTATTTTACTCAGCAATACAGATCGAATCGGCATCAAACCTAACGGTTCTTCCTTCAGAATTTATGATGAAAACGGAGATCTTGTACCGGGATTAAATAATTTGGTGATAAATCAAGATATAGATGTGAATAGTACATCAGATAATTATTTCACGAATTTTTTTAAGTCTATCGAAGCAGTTTACTTTTGGACTAGCGGTCGTTGGGATCAATTAGATCAATGGGATTTCTGGCCAGTAGATGTCTTTTCTATCATTGCTAGTATCCTTCTTGTTACGATTTTACAAAATATGTTGATCGCAATTATGGCGTAAGCGTAAATTTCATTTCGTTCCATTTTTTTTTTTTTTTTCACAGAAATTTATTTTAATGAATCAAACTTATTTTATTATTAAGTGGCGCGTACGATCAGGCAAAAGAGCTTAGTAAACATGCAGTGCTGAAATATCGAGCGGAATTGATCGCAGATTATGAAACATTTGATAGACCATTTGGAAATCGAAAAAGGGATCCTCGATATATTTTTTACATTGGAAAAACCGAATATATTGAGAAATGGTTAGAAAAATCCGAACGATATAGGGAAAGTTATAAGAATTTCTTGGAAGAAATAGAAGGTGGTAATCCATGGTCCTATGATGAAAACGATGATCTAGAAAATTTAGATGATTTTCAAAAGTCACATCATCATTCTCATTCTTATTCCTTTTCCACGGATATTGATTCCGATAATTTAAATTCACAAAGAGTCGTTCCATTATGCTCATATTGGTTTGTGGATGAAGAAGATGATGGAACGAGATTATTGAAAGAACCAGATGGTAAAATGTTGTATTATAAAATGCAGTCCATTGAACATGACTTATCTGAAAAATTACGTTTAATGGAAGATAATATTAAACAGTTAATTTCATTGCAAAATCGACAATAATTATTGAGATTGTATAATATTTTTTTTTTTTTTGTTACATTTTTATTTTTTTAGAAAAATGGAATGTGATGTATGCAGATTTCCGATCATTTATTTTTATATGGTTGATTTATAATGGGGTTTTCTTTTACAGAAATTTTTTTTGTCAAAATCTTTGTCACATATTGGGTGGGCTTTGGAGTACATTATAATAATAATTAATAAATTCTAATCTATAAAAATTAAAGTATTTGACCTTACTGCATCTAGTTCCTGCAGGACGTATTATAAAAAAAGCAGATCACAATTAAATAAAAAAAGTTGTTTGTAGAACAAAAGTTTGTCCGAACTAAAAAAAAAAAAAAATACGAAAACGTAAAAGCTTTCTCATACAATATGAAGTCAAAGGAAGAAAGTAATGACTTTACTTCTAGAAGTGACAAAAAGAATTTCTCAATGAATTTTATCAAAAGATTGCGTACGCAAATGATATTGAAAAGTTTGATAATAAAATGATTCAATGGACGATTATTGAAGAAATTCGACGTATAAAAGTCAAGAAACTTGCCGAATTAATCAACAAATGAATCATGAATGGGATTTTTTTATCAAAATGGAGTCGGGGGAAGTAACATTAATAAAAGAAAGACATTGGAATTATGTTTATTAATTAGACCATAGCAAAGTAAACTCAAAAAGAATATATTACTAAAATCTTTTTTAATAATAGTTTAAACCAATTCTGATTACTAAACAAGAAATTGCAAAAGTTAAAACAAATATGATTAAACCAGAATCATTTGTAAAATTGAAATCTTAAATAAATGAATAAAAGTATTTAAAAGAATATGATAATAATATCAGCATTTCTATAAAAGGAATGATCGATATAATCCATTTTTGGTAAAATTCATTCTATCAGATCACGTGAAACGTACGTAAAAAAATTAATTATAAATTGTTCGGATTTCTTGTATTTCTCTCAAAATGGAGTCGTCATTTCTAATAAGTCGTGAACAGCCACAAGGCTCTGTAATTCTTCGTGAATTGAATATATTGAATATGGAAACTATAACGCTGTGGATTCATATTGAGAACCAACCAATTTCTGTAAAATTTCTTGTTAAGAGGATACCGTCGGAAATTAATTCTACTGTTTTAGTTGATATCAACCCTGAACTTTGTAAAAAAGAACCTCTTAGAGGTGTTAATCCAGAAGTCTCGAGTTCTATAGGTACGGTAATCGTATCACGCGTCTTCCTTCGGGTACCCTTATTAATACTTTGAATACAACTGACAAGGATCCTCTTGTGTGCGTTACCCATTATCTGACTCTGATGGTAATTTTCTGAGTATTTTGTTACACCTACTGTATATGTCATGCTCATTGTTTTTCTTCTGTCTGTAGTTGTTGTTCGCTGCAATTTATCCATGCCCTGGTACAAAAAAAGATTTCCGCATAATACTGGTCTTTGGTACCTTATACGTCATGTAGCTGAAACGAAGTGGGAAACTTTGAGTTCAGACAACTCCCAATATTTTTTTTGTATATAGTCAAGATAAGAAGGTAAACGAAGAGGAAGAGATCAGTAATGAGTTTGCGCTCAATAAACTAGTAGCAAAAATTAAACCTTCAGAAGACAATGAACGTGCAATCAGTCTTTCTATTCGGGTTAAAGGTTGATAAATTATTGAATTAGATTAGATATGAATTCTCATTTATTTTCTTTCTTAATAGGTAAGAAAGCATTTGGTGACTGGGAAATAGGCGAGGTTCTCAAGAAGGTTTTGCATCAGGACGGATCTTCCATAGGCGACGTTCGTAAATTTGAAATAGGTATATTTTTTATTTGAGAATGGTGCCGTTGTTTATGGTTTCTCATATGATTTTGTATCACAGAGGACCTTCAAAACCCGGATCCTGAAATTACTGAAGAGGAACTCAAATTACTTATTGATGAGCTTAAGAAAAAGAAATGTGCTTTCAAATATGTTCCTCGTAATGAATCAACCTGCCGAGAGTTCATTTCTGCTTTTATGACTACAGCTGTAAAACATGTCCAATCAATAGAAGAAAATATTGAGCTCAAAGCTGAAGAGTGGCTTGATGGATCCTATGGCTATGGTCCCACTGACTATGCTGTTTATGTTGGGAGCATAATTGCATTAGTTGCAGTAGTTAAAAAAGAAGACTTCGAGAAAGGAGCTGCCCAGAACATTGTGCAAATGCGCAGTGCTGTAGAAGTCTGAATATTTATACTACACTATTATTTATTTTTTTTTATTGTTATTTTCATGTATAACTCATTATTTTTTTTTATAGACATTAACAAAAAAGCGTAAGATAGATGAAATAGATGATGATGATGATGGTGTTCCAGTTCTTATGTACGGAATTGTGACAAATGCATTGCAATGGTATTTTATTCGATGGGCTGGCTCTCCAGAGGATCCAACAGTAGAAGTATCTGATCAACTTCAATGTAAATTTGATGTTAAAAATATGGAACAAGGAGATATAAAGGGAATTGCTGGCTATATTACTTCTATTCTCCAACAACAAGTCCGTGGTTTGGATGATGAATCAGCACGTCCTCGAATTAGCAAGAGACGCCGCATATGATTATTTTACTTTTGATTAGCAATTTTCTTATGGAAAATTTAATTTGATATAAAATAAATAAGCAAAAAAGCTAAGTTGAGCGTAGAATTGCACATTAATAAATATTTACAAATACTATGTATGTAATACTGTTTAATTAAACTGAAAAAAAAGCTAAATGCTAAATAATGCTAAATAAATAATGAGCAATAGCACTGTATAGATTTTTTAGATTTCTTAATTATAACCTTTTGTATAATTGATAACTATTGTGCAGGTCTATTAATTGTATAAATATAAAATTATAAATTATAATATTATGACTAATTCTATATTCTTTAATCAAACAAATTAGCCAGCAAAATTAAAAATTTTTTGCAATATAAATGATGTAAACAAAACTATTTCCTATAAAAAAATATTCTAAAATTTTTTGAGCAAAAAAGAGATTATGTAAGTTCTGGTAAAATGTGGAAAGATAACTAAAAAAGTAAGTTAATAATGAAAATCTTAAAAATTTTGAAAATTATCAAAAAGAACATTCTAGATTAAAAAAGGAAATTAGAGACAATAAAGAGTACTGCATAATTAAAGAAAAAATATATGGTTAAGATTATTTTGTCTAATTGACTTTTACTACTATAAAAGCAGATTTTATTAAAGTATTTGAAAGAAAGAGGATTGTTTGAAGAAATAATTTTTGGATTTGCTTTTTTCACTAAAAAAGAAGATCTTTTATCCACTCTTAATAAAGTTACAGAAGACTACTAAAAATCTCTAAATATGATTTTTGATATCTTGTTTTCTAAATCAAATCAAATTTTAACATATAGAGGGTCACAAAAAGTCTCTGAACACTTTTTAAATTAACGTAAAACTCAAAATTTAAAATTAAAATGAAAAAAAATTAATAATATTTTTATTTAAATAAGGTCTAATCTACATTTTGTACTAAGTAACTAACACTTAGTCAGGCCTCCTTTTGCTTCAATCACTGTCTGAATTCATTGCAGTATACTATTGACCAAATTTTTGATAGTATGTATAAGAACATCTCGCCATACTTTTTTAATGTATCATTCAAGTTCAGCAAGAATAGAAGGCAGTTTTTCTTTCACAAATGCTTTTCTTGATATTGGCTCACAAGTTCTCAATTGGATTGAGATATGAACTTTAAGCAAGCTAAGAAAGTATGCACAAATTATTTTTCATGTGAAATTTCTTCGTAACTTTTGATTTGTGAAAGCGAGCATTATCCTCTTAAAATAAGCCATCATCATTTAGAAATACACGTTTCATAGTTGATATAACATGCTTGCGAAGAATAGTTACATATGTAGCATTAGTTGCTATTTAAGATAATGTGACAATGAGTCCTAAATTTTATCTTGAAAAGCATTTCCAAAACATTCGTCTAGGGCTATATTTTATGGTGACAGCAACATAAAAAAGGTTTCACTTGTCTTTCAGCTTCTGCCACACTCTACTACACCTGCTTTGTTAGAATTAGAAAAAGGTCAATTTGTCACTCTATATGACTTTTGCCTAATTGTGCTTTATCTAACTTTGATGTTCTAAAGCCTATGCAAGACGTGCTTTCATATTTGCTAATGAGATTAAAGCTTGTGTTAAGCAAGACAATTTTTTAGCGCAACTTTATGAAGTATTTAAATAATTATGTTAACTAAAACATCCTGATTTGTCTTCTTCTTTCAAAGTTGTTAAACTTCAGCAGTACATAAGCGATGATTCTTTTTCTTGCCATTAGTTACAAGTCACTTAAGCCAGTTTCATTGTAAAAATTCAATAAGGGCGAATAACTGAAACAGAACCTTGAATTAGCAGTTCCAGTTTTATTTATTCTTTTTAAAATGTCAAATACTGTTGACATCTTACACCTGATAGTTGCAGACAATAGTTCTATAACTATTGTTACATTAATAGTAATAAAATATAACGCTATGTTGTTCTTTTGTTAATTCTTTACTTATTTTATTGATTTTAGAGAATAAAATTTATTTTGAGTTAAAGTCAAAATAAATAAATAAAACACATATTTATTAAGTTTATTTATGTAAACAAACTCTAAATCATCATATGACCATAATATTATTAAGTTACATGACATTACTAACATGAAATCAAACTTAAAAAGTGGTGTTCAGAGACTTTTGGTGACCCTTTATATTTTAATTACAATCTTAAATAATAACACATTAAAATTTCATTTAATTTGAATCACTTTTTTTAAAATGTAATAATGCTTATTTTATTAATAATATTCAAATTCAGTAAAAATATTATATGAAAATCATAAAAAACTAGGTATAAAAATAGAAAAACTAAAATAAAGCTACCTAATACTCATGATTAAAAAAATTTAACTTCTATCAAACTAAATTATTCTGTTAGACTTCAGTAATAATCACTAATATATTTACCACTATCATTAAACTAATAAAAAGTAAATATTTGACAACTAGCTATTATTACATAAGAAAGAGTAAATATCTTTGACTGTGTATATAAAAATTTTTAATTAAAGTGAGATAATTCAAATTAGAGAAAAATAGGAAGAAATTAGTATTAGTAAAACTATTTATTGAAAAAATTTTATATTATAAATGTAATTTTACTGTTTTTATATGTGTGAACTTTTTTTCAATATTAGTTATATATCTAGATTTTTATATAAATTTAAAGTTTGATCAAAAAATAAAAGTATAAAATGATAAAAGAATTGTTTTAGTAACTGAAGAAGAATTTGTAAATGTATCTATAATTTTTGAAAGTTAGTATAAAACTATATCTTTAATAATATTAATAATAATAATTTAATAAGAATTAGATTTAATATTTCAGAAAGAATGAGTTAGTAAAAGTAAAACAAAGACCTTTAGTATGAATTTTGATCTTAAAATATAAATAAATAACTAATATTTAAGGTATATAGAATGATTTTCTATAAAAAAAGTTTTAAATGTAAAACAAAGTTAAAATATTTATTAAGAGAGTTGCATTAATAATATTTTTATCGATTATTATATAATTAAAATTATATGACTTTAAAAAGTTAATAATAGGTAATTATTCCAATAAAAATTTGAATATTTAATAGTAAATATATGATTCTTTAAAATTAGTTTCAGCTTATATATATAATTTAATAAATTAAAAAATAAGTAGATAATTTATATGAAGATAAGTGTATTTATAGTTTTGTTTCTGCTAATAATAATCAAAAAATTATTTTAAATATATATAATCTTTCAAAAAAACGTAATGAAGTACAAATAGGATAGGTATATTATCAAAAGTAGAGATGTAATTAAAATAAGAAATGTAATCAAATAATAAGAAAATAGGAAGAGAATGTAAAGAGAATTTGGTAAATTAATCAACCTTATTATTATAAGAGTCATCAGAATAAACAGCTACCTTTATTAAAATAAAAGTAATATTTTTGTTATTTATAATTTTAAAAATAATAGATTAATATATATTATATGTTATTTTTAATATTAAATAAGAGTAATAGAAGGTATTTTACCAGTTAATAATATTAAAAAAATGAATTAATGATAAATTATCTATGTAAATATTTAACTCTAAATTAGAAGAATAAATTAATAAGACTAATAATAAAACAAAAATTTCTGCATTAGTGAAGTTAATCTAAAGGGTAGAAATGATTGTAAAAAATTCTATTTTTAATATATTATAAATAAGTAAAAAGGTAAATCTAATATATGAAATTAGATTAGAAGTATCTGATAAAAATTATAGAAATTATTATATGTAAAAAATAAAAGAATGTTTATTAATTAAAGATAATTTAAAATCTTCAAGTAGAGAAATAACTTATGGATTATTAATAAAGGAGTCTATTATAAAATAAAAGAATATTTATAATATAAATTGATTAATAACAGAAGGTAATAGTCTAGTCTTTAAATAATATTAATTTGTTTAATCTAAAATTACTTTTATATTTTTTCATAACAAATATAATTTATTGAAAAATGATATATAATATCAATGATTTAAAAAAGGTCAATATCTATGACTTCAATTTTCAAATTAATAAAGATATTTGATTTTTTTGGTCATTGTTATCAAAAATACAACCCTGATAAATGTTAAAAGTATATTTTTTTTTGATAGAAAATGGAAATCATATATTGTATTGTTAGTAATATAATATTAAAAAATACTTTTATTTAAAAAATCTTTTGACTTGATGGCTTTATTAAAAATAATTTGATTAGGGTATAGAAAATTATAAACTTTGTAATTAGAAGGTATTTAGAGAGTAACCAAGTTATTCTTTTTTATTGAATTAGCTAGAGGGATTATTTTAATATTTTAGTCTATTAAAGTATACTGAATTTTCTAATACTATAAATTGTAGTAATAAAACTACTTTAATGAATAGGACTAACAAAACACTTATCAGAAAAATCTTTTTAATTTAAAATTATAATGACCTATTAAAAATTTACTATTAGCAAATAATTAATTTAAAAATAAATATATTTATTATAATAATAATTTATGCTATAGAAGGATTGATTGAAGTTGAGTCTTATTATCTTTAATGAGAAAGTTAGAACTTGTTAAAAATATACAGTTAACTTTTATTATAGTCACACATTTAAAATATCTTATATTCTGTAACTATAACGAGATGTAACTATAAATAAAAAAAATTTTTTTAATGGTAAAATATAAATAAAAAATTATAAGAAACATATAATATATCAATTTTATTAATTAATAGACATGTTATTTATTATATAATTATATTAAGTATATTACTAAAATCAAAATTATATATATAATATTAAATGTTTTAATTAGAAAAAAATAACCTTCAGTTGACTTTTATTGTAAAGATATAATATAATATATTTCAAATCTGAAATATAACATTTAAAAACTTTAAAATCATCTATTTTAAATTCATCATTAATAGGTAGATATTCATAAAAGAGAATTACTCTTTTGATTGCATCAAGTAC